CTGTGTTTTTAGTCTAATAGTAATATAATTTGTATTTGAGCACCGACAAGACTGTCAAAGAATTAAAAAAAAAAAAACAACAAAAAAAAAAAACACTTTAATTATATTAAGAGTCAACGAATAAATTTCTAAAATTGTAGATATTTACTTAATTAAAGTATTAGTTGCTTGAATAAATCTTTATGATTATATTTAATTATTTATTTTGCTTATCTTAAATGTAGCTTAATTGATTAGAGTATATTAGTATTAGCTATTTATTGTAGGAATAATTAAAATATTCTGAAATATTTATTAGTTTGAAAATACCGTGAAGTTAATAATACATTAATAGAAATAAAAGCAAATTAATAATATTTAAAATTTTTTTTTTTTTTTTTTTTTTGTATAGATATATATACGGCGGTACAATTTCTTTGGAAAATTTGGAGCCATCATTAATTTATGAACTTATGATAACTGGAGATGAATTTTATTTAGATGAATTTATTAATTATCTAGAATTATATCTTCTTGATATAAATATTGAATGGTTATATGAAAACTTTGATTTAATTTATCATACTTGTTTTAAATATGAAACATTTCGAAGATTACAAAAATTTTGTACGGACACTGTAGCCAAAAATCCTGAAATAATTTTTAATACTAAAGAATTTACCTCAATTAATGAAAATGCGTTAGTGGAATTAATTAAAAGAGATGATTTAAGATTAGAGGAAGGAAAGATTTGGGATCAAATAATTAAATGGGGAATTGGACAAAATCCGGGATTACTTGATGATCCAGTAAAATGGAAAGAAGAAGATTATTTATCTTTAGAAATTACTTTACAAAATTGTTTACCATTAATTCGATATTTTCAAATATCGGGTGATGATTTTTTTGATAAAATTCGACCTTATAAAAAATTAATTTCACCAAGTTTATGGGATGACCTCATGAAACATTTTATCGTACCTGATCGACCCATAAATAATAATGTATTATCACCTCGATTTTCTACGGTGATAACAGAAACCCAGGCTGCATTAATTGCTTCATGGATTGATCGAAAGGAGAAGAATAATAATAATGATGATGATGATGATAATGATAATAATGATGATAATGATGATGAATTTTGTGTTTCTAATAATCCTTATGAATTTTCATTAATATTTCGAGCTAGTCGTGACGGATTTACCACTAAAACTTTTTATGATCATTGTGATGGAAAAGATAATACGATAATTGTATTGAAAATTAAAAATACTAGAGAAATATTAGGAGGTTATAATCCATTGGCTTGGCATAAAATTGGAGGATATCAAAATACAAATGATAGTTTTATATTTTCATTAAATGATGAAGATTCCAAAAAATCGAAATTAAGTCGAATTCAATCTTCCAATTCGACAAGTGCATTATATTATGATGGTACAGGACCACAATTTGGAGATAGTGATTTAATGCTTAAAAACAATAATGAATTTGGATTTAAAGTATTCTGTAAAAAACGATGTTATGAATTTCCTATAAGAGAAACCACAGATATTTCATATGTCGAAGATTACGAAGTATTTCAAATTATTTGTAATGTAAATAAAAAGACGGCGAGAAATGAAATTAAAAATGAAAAGATGAACAATGTAAAGACTAATAATGAAAATGTAAAGATGAATAATGAAAATGTAAAGACGAACAATGTAAATATAGAGACAGTTGAGAAGAAAAATAATAATTATTATACAGAGATAGTTGAGAATGAAAATAATTATTATTATGAAAGTAACAAAAAAAATATTTATTGAATATTTTATTTTAAAATAATTCAAGTATTTATTTATTTATTTCATTTTTATTTCATTCTTTCTTTATATGTTTCGTTTTTTCATCCTTTTTTTTTTTTTTTGAAATCGTCATGTACATATATACTTTTATGGAACTTATAATAAAAAGAAATATAAAAATGTCTTTACCTAGAAATTGTAAAATGTAAAATGTACAATATTTTTTCTCTTAATATCGATTCCTTATTTTAATTTTTTATGTATTCATAAAATACATATAATATTAATTGTTTCACCAAATTAGAAAGACTAAAAATAAACAGATAAAAAATTTGTGTTACCTATAACCTATAAATATGATCCCCATTAGATTTAGATTTTCTTATACACACAATGATTGAAATAAAATTTATTCTTCGAGAAGCTATATCCCAATGTTCTGAAAGAGGATTATATTTTGCAGCGAAATGGTATATATTATATACACGTATATATGTACATTTTACAATTAGTACAAGACTGATCGTCCTTTTATTTATATATTGAATATGTATATATATTATTATCTATTTCTCTCTCATTACCTTCTAAAATAAATGATTTTAAAAAAAAAGGGCGGCAGAAACTTTGGATGGACTTTCCTCTTCAACTAGAGAATCTTCTTCTCCTCCTCCTTCTTCTTCTTCTATAATAGAACCAGAAATCACCAACACTTCAATAAAATTAGAAAAAATTCCAATGGAAAAATTTGATCAACTACAACAACAACCAACATCCCAAAAATATATTACATATTTTGATTCAATTGAATATGATAAATATCTTTTGGGTAAATCATACTTTGATGTTAAAGAATTTGATAGGGCAACATTTGTATTGGAAAAATGTAAATCTGCAAAATGTAGATTTTTGAGAATTTATTCTAAATATTTGGTATGTAACAACAACAACAACAACAACAACGATTATAATAATAACAATAATAATAATTATAATAACTATAATAATAGATAGATATTTATTTATATTTATATGTTATATATGTTATAATTTATGTGATAATAATAATAGGCTGGAGAAAAGAGGAAAGAAGAAGAAAGAAAAGATATTATGGGTATTTGGGTGATTGCCTTATTTTTATTCATTTATCAATTTAATTATTCTAGCAATAATTTAATAGCAATATAATAATAATAATAATAATAATAATAATCTATAATCTATAATCTATAATAAGGACCTTTGGAAAATGAAAAAAGCTTAAATAAGGAAGTTCAAAGTTTATGGGAAGAAATGGAGTCATGGCGGAAAGAAGAAGATTTAGATGGATTCTTAACATATCTGTATATATTATATATTATTTATTATTTCTTGATATATCTTTATTATTTCTTGATATATCTTTATTATGTCATCTTTTTATATATTAGATATGGTCTTCTGGTAAAACAAAAGAATCCACATGCAAAAGATCTCAAAGATATTTTTATAGAATCTGTATGTAAATATCAGTACAATTGGAGTGCATGGTTAGAATTAGGAAGTTGTATCACAACTAAAGATACGGTACTCTTTATTTATTATATAATATTTGAATTTACGAAATTTAAATTTAAATTGTATATATATATATATATATATATATATTTATATATTTATATATTTATATATTTATATATTTATTATTTATTATTTATATATTTATTTTATTTATTTATGATTTATCTAGTTGGAAGAAATTTGTTTACGATTACCGGATACATTCATGACAAAATTTTTTAGAATTTATGTAACAGTCGAATTATCGGGAACACCTAAATCTTTTAAAGATTTAGTTGATCATGATTTAAAAGAAAATTTTGCCAATAATAAATTTTTGCAAACACAAGAAGCTATTATGTATTATAATAATAGAGGTAATTATATTATATTATATTATATTATATTATTTATATTAGATTATATTATTTTATATTAGATTATATATTATATTATATTATTTTATACTATATTATATTATTTATTACATTTCATTTATTTATTTTGATTTTTTAAATTTAAATTTAAATTTAGATTATGATAGAGCTGAAGTAATATTTGATGAAATAATTAAATCCGATCCATATCGAGTAGATGAAATGGATGTTTATTCAAATATTTTATATGTGATGGAAAGAAAAATTGGAAAATTGAGTTATCTCGCTCATATGTGTACATATACTGATAAATATCGTTCGGAAACTATGTGTGTCATAGGTAAATAAAATAAAATAGAAATAATAAATTCTTTATCTAATTTATTCAAAAATTTTTTTTTTTTATGTTCACGTTATAATATTATTTTATATTTCATTATTTTTTAAAGGAAATTTATATAGTTCCAAGTGTGATCATGTGAAGGCAATTTCATATTTTAGAAGGGCATTACAAATAAATCGAAATTGTTTATCAGCTTGGACTTTGATGGGACATGAATATATGGAATTGAAAAATACTCATGCGGCAGTTATTTCATATAAAAGAGCCGTGGGTAATTAATTAAATTAATTAATTAATTAATTATTCGTTATTTGATTTAATTATTTTAACATTTTAAAATTTTTTAAATGTTTATTTTTAAAAAATGAATGTTTTAAATAGAAATCAATGCTAAAGATTATCGAGCATGGTGTGGTCTAGGACAAACATATGAAATGTTAAAGATGCCATATTATGCATTATATTATTATCAACATTCATCAGCCATCAGACCATCTGATGCAAGAATGTGGACAAGATTGGCTGCACTTTATGAACAAACAAATGCTCCCACTGAAGCAACTAAGGCTTATACCAGATCACTCTCTTGTACTGATATTGATGTAAATTCCGAAACTCAAGCCATAGTTAAATTAGCTTCTCTATACGCTAGTTTATCAACATCAATAATATCGTCATCTTCATCTTCTTTTTCGGTAAATTCAAATAAAGAAAAAGCTGCTCAGTTTTATACTAAATTACTTGAGAGACAAGATGTAAATATTTTAAATTTCTTAAATTATTATTATTGAATTATTGGATATTATAATTATTATTATAATTATAATCATTATTATTATTATTATTATCATTATTAACTTATTAATATTATTAGTTATGCCCTGAACCAGAAGATGTAAGAGCTGCTGAAATATTCTTGCGTGATTATAAATCAGAAAAACAACAACAAAAAGAAGAGGAGGAGGAGGAAGGAAAACAATCAGAAATAGCAGGTTCATCAACTCAAAATATGAATCCCGAAAGATCAGTAAGTATCAAAATAAATCTTGATTTTATTTTATTTTTTATTTTTTAATTTAAAATTGAACTGTTTTTTTTATTATTATTTTTTTTATTTTTATTTTTTATTTTTATTATTTTTTATTTTTATTATTATTATTATTATTATTATTATTATTATTATTATATTTTTAAACCATTAAATTTATTTTTGACTAATTTATACATGAATAAAATGTTTACTAAATCCAAGATTTCTTACTTAACTCACAGCCTCAAGGATCTCGGAATCTAATTATCACTGATGATAATAATAACAAAAGATAGTAGTAGTTAATAATAGTAATAGTAATAATAATAGTAATTAGTATTTTTATGATTTTATTTATTGAAATAAAAAACCTAATTATAAAGCCTAAAACAAAATAACAATTACTAAATAGGTATTGATTCACATTTTTTTTTTTTATTCTTTGTCTTACATTAGAAATTTATTATATTTGATCTAATACTAGAATTATTAGAATTATTCACTGTTTTTATTTTTTATATTTATATAATTTTTCTTTGACGAAAAAATTCCCAAAAAAATAATCACTTTTTACCCCTCATTTATATCATAATTGTTAAATAATATACACTCGATATTTTGTAATAATAATTAATAATTTGTAATAATATAATAATAATAATTTATAATCATAATTGTAATAATGGTATCGCTATTACGCCTTGTTAAGCACCTAAAGCACTCTTTTTTAAAGAAATATCATAATATTCATTTTTTAAAGTTAACATATATCGAAAAATTATTTATTTTCACTTGTTCCATACAACTTATATCAAATACCATGATTTTTATTCATGTCAATCTTTCAAGTACTTCCTTTTCTTTTTCCTATCGTTTATTATTTTGGTTTTGGATATTGTTTTCGGTGACGGCTGGAATGACGGTTTGTATTATATCATAAAAATATAAATATATATATATATAAAAAGAGATGGGAGAGAGTGAAATCACTGGTATTTTAGATATATATTATTTATTTATTATTATTATTATTATTATTTAAATTTACATTATGATTAAATTGTATTTACTAAATTAAATTATTTTGTTTTCTCCTTTTTTTTAAAAATATATATATATATATATATATATAATATAATATATATATATATATATCCAATTCTATAAAAAATTCAAATCTAATTACTCGATTGATATATTTGATTCGACATATTGGGAAATAATATTCGGACATATTGACATATTTTTAATATATTATATTATTGATTCGAACATATTGGGACATATTTTATACCGGACCGATATACTATATATATCTTGATATTAATTGATATTAATAGTTTCATTACAAATCAGCAAAACATGGAATAGCATTTTGTTTGATAAATTTAATTTTTATAGTTTCCTGGAAAAAAATAATACATTCGATACAAGTTCTATGCGATCAAATATATTGTTCATCAGAAGAGAAAGCAATTTATTTTGAATTAAATATTGCTTTTATATTTTCGGTAGTGTTCATGGTGTGTTATTGTATTTTGGTGAGATTGTTATGTAAACGAGGGTGAGTAATAATCATTAAAATCTTCTTATGATTGTTTTGGGATTATAATAATTAATTATATTTATATATTTATTATATTTTTATATTTATTATATTTATATATTTATTATATTTATATATTTATTATATTTATATATTTATATATTCATATATATCTATTTTCTTTCTTTCTTTCTTTAGACATTGGAGGATTACATAATATGCATTTTATTCAAATTTATATTCAATTTACGCACACATGGAGAAAATTATTCAAATTATATCTCACGGATGAATAATCACGCGGAGGAATTACTTAAATTATCACTCAATACTTTACTCAAATTATTTAGCTCAAAAAAGGAGAGATTTCATTTTAATAATTAAAATAATAAGGATACATAAATTTATAGATGATCAATTGATTTATATAACAGATAATATATAGATTAAGAAAGAGAAATTAAAGGGTTTAGAGAGAGAGAGAAATTAAAAGATTTAGGGGAATCCGAATTTTTTCATAACAATTTACAATAATCTATATTTAATTACTGTAATTTAATAATATTTTTTTCAATTAATTAATTAATAGTATTTTTTTTGATTGATTGATTGATTGATTAAATAATTAATTAATATATTTTTTGATTAATCAATTAATATGTAATATTAATTAAAAAAAAAATTGGAATATATTAATCAATTGTAAATAAATGAATGAAAAATAATTTTATTGATTCAATCAAATTAATCATTTTATTAAAAATCATTTTATTCAATAATGATGTAAAGATAAATTTGAAATGAATATATCTGATATAGTGAAAATATAACTGAAATAATTTTTTTTATTAATTAAATAGTTTCACAGCAGATTGTCACTATATACCACTATATATCACTCTATATTACTCAATACTTTATTCAAATTAATTAACTCGAAAAAAAAGGAGAGATTACATTTTAATCATTAACAAGAACAATATCAATTGATTTAACAGATCAGATAATATAGATTAAGAAAGAGAAGTTAAAGATTTAGAGAAATCAAAGATTTAGGATAATCCAGTTTTATCATCATTATTTCATAACAATTATAACAATTTACGTAATTTTTTTTTATTATAACGATTGATTTGAATAATTGATTAATTGATATATAATTAATTATTAATTAATAATATATAATAATAATTAATTAATTTTTTTAAAAAAACCAGAATATATTAATCAATTGATTGAAAGTCATTTGATTCTAAAAAAAAAAATTATTATAGTTATAATAGGGTGAGAATTTTTATTGTTTTATTTAAATAGTTTCACAGCAACTATTATATATTATATACAACTATATACTATATACTATATATTACTATATACTACTATATATGTGCTGTGTACCTTCATGGTAATAGAATATGTATAATTTATTAGAGTATTAAATAGATGAGTGTGTACCTTCCAGGTGTGTACCTTCCTGGACATTTAGAATATCCATCAAGTTTTTTTTTTTTTTTTCTCTAACGTTATCGATAATAAAATTAATATTAAAAAGTTTTTATACAAAAGTTTACGAAAGAATAAAAAACCAGCAAGGTTATTTAAATATAATAATAACAAGTTCAACAAATACAATAATAATAAAATAATAGTTCTCAATAAAAATAACACTAATAGTAATAATATATATTCTCTCTAATAACGTTAAATAATAACAGTTCTCAGTGAATAAACGTAAATAAACAATAAATAAATAGCTGTCAGTAATATATGTGAATAATTATAATCGTCATAATAATATATTTAACCTGGTCAATATGACTAAAGTGAATTGTGCATTACCTGAAGGAAGTAACCTTCAAGGTTGGATTTTGTCAATCGCTTCAGGTTTGGCTTGTTGCGTTGGTGGTATGTTAAATTTATTTATTATTACTTTTATTATTATTATTATTATTATTATTACTATTATTATTATTATTACTATTTTATTATTATTATTATTATTACTATTTTATTATTATTATTATTATTATTATTATTGATAATATATTTTCTTTTTTTTTTTAAAAAAAAAAAAAATGATTATAGCATCAATCGTTTTTTCGGATATATTTTTTCAAAAGTTTTTATGTGTCCGTTACGTTCACATAACACAAAACACAAATTTTTTAGTTGCATCTTTAGCTCTGGGAGCTGGTGTAATGGTAATTTATTATTCTATTTACAATGTGAATATAATAATTACGACAATTATGACCAATCATTATAATTTATAATACTTTTTATTTTTATATTTTCAGTTATATTCTAGCTTTTATACGTTAATGCATGAATCCAAAACAAATTTCGAACATTCAGATCTTTCAAAAGGATATTCTGGACTTTTCTTATTGATCTTTTATTTCGCGGGTGTATTAGGATCTTCTTTAATTAATTCTTTAATACATCATTTCATATCTGAAGATTCCATGTTACATTCACACCACGATCACGATCATCATCATCATCATCATCATAATCCTTTTGAACATAATCCTCTTGAACATAATCCTAATCCATCCCCAGAAACAACTTTTACCCCATATAATGAACAATCACCATTATTATCAAATAGAATGATATCTGAATCAATCGATTTTAATAATACTAATAATTATAATAATGAATATAATGGAGATAATAGTAATGATGATAGTGAACATGATACAATTTATATTGTAGATAGTGATACTGATGACTCTAAAGTACCTTCTCTTAAATCATTTTATAATCATGATCAACCACAATCACATCCACATCCACATCATAATCACCACCTTAATCAACAAAATCCATTAAATCCAAAAGATCAAGATCAAAAGCAATTAATGCGTATAGGAATTCAAACAGCTTTAGCTATCTCCATTCATAAATTTCCAGGTATAAATAATTAATCATTCTTTCAATTCATTCATTCATTCATTCATTCATTCATTCATTCATTCATTCATTCACTCACTCACTCACTCACTCACTCATTCATCACTCACTCATTCATTCCACTCATCACTTACTCATTCATCCATCTCATCAAATCAAATCACATCACATCACTCATTTATCGCCGAGTACAGAAGGCCTTATTACTTTTGTCACGTCAAAAGTATCACCATCTATGGGATTCGCTTTATTTTTTGCCATCGCTCTTCATAATATTTCCGAAGGATTCGCAATAGCTCTTCCATTATATATCGCCACAAGATCAAGAATGAAAAGTTTTTTATATACCACTTTATTAGGTGGATTAAGCCAACCGTTAGGTGCTTTGATTGGTTGGTTCTTTCTTAAAAAATCATCAAACGAATGTTGGGATCATAATTTTGTTTATGGTGCTTTATTTGGTTTCGTTAGTGGTTTAATGGGTGTTATTTGCATTCAGGTAATAATCAATTATTATTATTGTGATAAAATAATGATAAATAGTGATACCGATAAATAATAATAATAATCGAAAATAATAATGATAATAATGATTATTTTTATTTTATTTTATAGGGAATGCTACCACAAGCTATTAAGAATGATAGGTCTAATGGGAATTTAGTCAGCACTTTCTTTTTCTTGGGTGTTATTATTATGGGCTTAAGTTCTGCCTTATTTGATCATGCAAAATCTTCAAATTAATCAAATTTCAAATTCCCTATTTATACTTATTTAATAATTTATATTCTTTTCATATATAGTATTTAAATGGATGATCCCATTTTTGATCACATTATTTATCAATCATCCGAAAAAATAGAATATAATTTTTTTTTTTTTGTAAATAATAAAATTATAAAAAAAAAATTTTTTTTTTCTTGATATATATTTAAAAATAAATAAAAAATATTATTTACCAACAAATTTTATTCTATACCTATTTTTTAAATAATCTTAAATTACATTGAATTATAATTAAAGTTCCTCATAGCCTAAGCCTTGATTTTAGGTTCGTGGATTCATGAGCCTGGCTTAAGGTTGACAAGCATATACTATTTACTTTTGATCAATTCTACCATGATATTTCTTGTACCATTTGAAAGTTCTCACAAGGATGGTTGAATCATATTTGTAGCATTGGGTCGGCCTGAGTCTTAGGGGAGGTCCGAGCTTATGATATATGGTATATTGTTATATTGTTATAATTGTTGCAGATTCATAAATTACCCCTTGTATTCCTTGTATTGCATATTTTGATTGTATCCATTATTTTGTTAAAAAATAAAATAAAATAAATAATATTTTTGTTTTTTAAAAATTCATTATTTCTATATAAAGTTAATTGTTACGTTGCTCAGATTGTAATTTTTTTTAGCCATTCTTTCCTAAAGAATAGAATTCTTTAATAATTATTCTAGATTTTCCGTGTAAGTTTTCGGTGCATTTACAATATTTTGAATGGCATTTATATGGTATTATATATGGCGTTTATGTCATTAATAAATATAAATAAATAAATATATATATATATATATAAATAAGATTTCATCCGTCTCAACTTCTTTTTTCAACCAAAAATTAATTAAATATCAATAAAAAATAAATATTTTAATATCAAAAAAAAAAAAAATAAAATAATTAATTATCATCCCAATTCTTTGAAATATTAATAATATTCAAATAAAATAAAAACTCTCTAAAATTAAATAATGGCTACTACCGCCAACCAAACTGAAAGAACAAATTCCACTTTCACAAGTGAAGATAATGAAAATAACGAAGATTTAGAAAGGAGTGTAAGAAAAAAGAATAAATGTATTGATTGTGGAACTTGTTGTGGTCTATGTTTGTGTTTATCCATTATTCTTCTTTCGCTAGGTGGTTCGGTTGTAATATTTTATTTCACATTTTCTAAATGGGTTCATATAGGAAAATAAATTGTAACTATTTACTTATACTAGACTATTATATTTATTAATTATTATTTTTTATTAATTATTATCCATTATTTATTTATTTGTTTTTATATATTGTTTACCCATTTACCACTTGATTTACTTCTTTGACATTGAATTAAATATATATATATAAGGAGGGATTTCTCAATTTGGTAGAAGGTACTTCAACAATGTAACATAATAAAAAAAATCTGTCACACTATTCAATTTCTTCTATATGATTGATTGTATGTTGATCATGTCCCAAAAAGCGTAAAATATCATTTTATCATTTTTGACATTATTCATGCCTATCACATATTCTAGAAATAAAACCTCACGTTTTACATAATATACTGTATATTTTTTATATTATTTTTTTTTTAAAAAAAAAAATATACATTTCTATCTATAATCCTTATTTATTTATTGCAAAAGTAATGAGATAATTACTCATGGTGATGATAAATTCACAAAAATAAAATAATAATTAAAAATAAATTTTCGAATTTCGATTGATTAAATAATAACTCGACTCGATTGACTCGATTGATTTAGCATTAATTGATTTTTTTTTTATTATTCGAACATATTAGCTGAAAATGCTTCGAGTTTTCTTTGTATTTCCAAAAATTCATGTGCCAAATCTTGTCTAAATGCAAAATGACTAACAGTCGTTAAATATTCGGATATATATCCATGTATACTTCTTGATACAATATCATAACTAAAAAAGAAAAAAAAAATTTATTAGATCAACATTGAAATAAGAATGAGATAAATAATAAAATAAATAAATAAATAAACAATAAATAAAATACCGTTCATCAGCAGATTTAATCCACTGATTAAGCACATAAGCCAATTCACTAAGTAAAAGTTCCATTCCACCTCCGGGTTGACTATTATTAAAGGGTTCAGCCTACATATAAGATTTTATTTTTTTTTTAAAAAAAAAAAAATGAAAAAATAAATAAAAATTTTGTATCGTAATAAACCTAAAAAGTATAATAAATTATAATGAATATTTTTCTAACCCTATTTGAATAAAGTTGATGATATGTATTGAACAGATCACCATATGCAACATTCGCTTGTCTCAGAATCCTTGTAATAAAATAAGGTTCGTTGATTCGATTATCAATTAAATATGTTGCAACAAGACGTACAATTGTTTCTAAAATCCAAAAGTCGTAAAAGTCGTGTATATAGGAATAATTTCAAAAATATTATTTTATTAAGAAAGAAAAGAAAGAAAGAAAGAAAGAAATATTTATAAAGTAATACAAACGTAGTGGGAATACGCGTAAATCATGGGGATAAAATTTTTGAGCACTCTCTAATATTATATCTGCTATAGGTTGAATTGATCCCGTATCGGTTGCTCGTTGTGATGCTATAGATAAAATCAATAATAAAATAATATAAATACATAACAATTTTTCCAATAATGTTACAATGAAATAAAATACTTGTAATTAATATGAAGAAGAAGATACCTTTTCGTATTATTTTTGTCCAAATATTATCTATATCATTTCGACGAGGATTAACTTCAATAGCATGTACTATAGATAATTCACTTTCAACCAATTCGAAAGGTATAGCGAATTCTCTCAAAAGCTAAGAAGTAATGGTATAAATAATTAAATAAAGTAAAAATCATATAAAGAGCTCAAGGTGACGCTCGGCGTCTACATTTATTATTAAAAAATTAATTGTTAGATTATGATTACTCCAAATCAAATAGAATTTCGAGAATCCTTGCAATTTTTCATTAACAATATTAATTACTTACCGTTGTGGTATCTCCAATAATATGGGGAGATGATTTATACATAGGATGTCTATTAATATAATAAACCTTTAATAAATAAATTTAAAAATAAAATTATAATTTTTAAATTATAATCAAATTTAATTAAATAAAAAATTATTAAAATTACCTATCACAAAAACCTCTTAATTTTGCTAATCTCATTGTAGTGTCACGTAATATTTGTTCCGGGACACTAGAATCTCGACGA